GGCTGAGCACTGCTGATGTCGCGTTACGCTTGGAGTTTAGCCGTGGTCTTGGTACTCTGCCCGTCACTGCTTAAAGTGCTGCCTTGCCTCTGTACGCGGCGTGCTTGCAAAGCCGCTGGCACTGCTGTTTCGGCCGTCTTGAAATACAGCCACGAGTAGTCTGGAACCCAAATTCAGCACATCAAATCCGTGGCCTGCAGGTTAAGAATCTGACTAGCGTGACTGTACACCCGCCCCCCTTTTCAAACTGTCACTTGTTACAGTGGCAGTTTTTTGTAGCCTAAGGTTATTCTGGAGATCAATCAGTTATGTTACCCCAGTTCTTCATGCACCTCAGTCGTAGTATTTTGTGCCTCTTGCAGTGTTTGGGCAGGGAGAACTTTATGGAAAACTACTTTAGCTGTCTTTCTTCACACAACAGTTTGGTAGTGGTTGTTGGGGGTTTATAAATCCCTTTGCTGGCTGCCATAGGGTGGTGTTGGCAATAGCAGTTCCCTTGTATTAATTGATGCAGAGTATCGACATAAAGCATTTGCTGTCAGCCACCTTGTCTTTTAGCTGAGGAGTGTTGATTCATATTTAAATATTTTAACATGCATCCAGTTAATTAAAGTAATTGCATTTAAAGTACTGGTGAAAACTTAAATGCTAAGCATTGCTTGGACTTATTCTGAGACATCTTGCACCTCCTCCCAGCAGCTTGTAACTTGTGAAACCAGAAGATGTATTTATTAAAGGTAAATGGACCTGGTTTAGGATGAGTGTTCCTTTGGAACTGGTAGATTTTATTTCTTTGTGCTGACAAGTAATTTCAGGTTCCTGTGTGCTTTCAACATCTGCCTTTGGGATTGAGAGAATAGGACTTGACTGGTGTCTTTGTTGCCATCTGTGTTCATTATGAAAGTGTTCTCCAGAGGGAGCTGCAATACAGAAAAGATCTACTGTTGTCTTCAAATAGCATAGCATTTTGTTTCGCTACAGTGTGAGCTGCAAGTCAGCCAGAGGTGAGGATTTTAAGTGCTTGTATAGATTGTTAATTCCATGTATCACTATTTCCACAGCTCTGAAGAGATCCCTTTCTAGTTAAAGATGGCCGCTGATACTTCTGTTGAAATACTTCAAAAAGTTCTGGAGAATGAAATACTTCAGACTACCAAGGTTGTGGAAGAACATCTGGATGCTGAAATGCAGAAGCTGGACCAAATGGATGAAGATGAATTGGAACGCCTTAAACAAAGGAGGCTTGAGGCACTAAAAAAGGCCCAGCAGCAGAAACAAGTAATTCTTGTAGTAATACAGACTCTGGATGTGTACAGCGTGACAGACTATTCAGAAATCCTAGGGAAATTGTATATGTGAAATAATTGCTTTGGAGTTGCTTGTTGGTTTGGGGTGTTTTTCCTCCTTTCTCTCTTTTCTGTAGTTTTTAATTTTAAGTTATCCAGGAAAGTGTCTGCCCATGTGTGCATGCTGTGTGCTTTTTAACAGGAGGAGAGAAGAACCTCTGTGATTGTTTACAATAAGGATGGGGTAGAGTTTCATACCAAAATTGGAGTGTGGCTGTATTCACTGAACATTGCTATCTGGAATTGTAAGCCTTGTAGGCAACCTAGTGATAAACTTTTAGGCTTCTTAAGCTTCTGAATTCTGGAGGTTGTTACTTACATCATTTAAGTGAAGCTATTTTGCACAAGTATGATACCAGGTCTTTCCTTGTTCCTAGGGTGGAATTTTTTGTCCTGCTCCTTCTTACCCAATGAAATGTTGTCTTTTTACAACTGCTTGCTTATTCTTGCAGGAAAGAAATTCTGCTTTAGTCACTGATACCTTATTCTAAGTTGTAGTCTTTATGCTCCCCAAAAGTCTCTTTGAACATGGTTCTCACCAAAATTTTGGTAATGTATGATGTGAGACCTGAATTGTAAGTACAAAGCTGTAGGTTTCTCAGCTTACTCCATCTAGGCAAACCTGAATGAAGGAGCAGACGGGGCTGAGGAGCAGGTGACTGGGTTAGGAGAGATGCTCTGGCTGTGGTGGAACCCATAGAAGCTGATGCTTTGCTTTGGAGTGGGAAGCCAATAAAATGTTGTGGTGTGGTTAGGATGCTGGAACACAGACAGTGTTAGCAGCTTTGATTCTTTAAACACAGAAGCAGTGAAAGTGTCACACTATTTGATTGTCTTCAGTTCAGTTTATATTTGGTTCTAGTGTTTTCCTCTTTCAGAAGTCACTGGGACCAAGTACAGGTGGTAGTTCTCATGTGAAAACTTGTTCATGTCAGTTGATCTTAAATCACTGTTGTCAGGAGTTTTCAAATGCAAATGTGAGGAAGGACACTCGCTACTCAGTAAAAGGAGCTTGCTGCCACACTGTTGTGCAGAAGGAATTAATGCATACCCACCGTTGATGGCTTCTTCATGTGCTCATACTTCTATGCATTTTTAATGTGTACAACATTCAAGAAATTCTTTGTTCTACCCTGATTTAGCTTACAGAATATTTTTAGTTTGCCTTTTTTTTTCCCCACTCCACTCAGACAAAACTGCAAGACATACCTAAGTTTTTTTCCTCCACTGGAAACTAAAGGTTTCTGTCAAGTTCTGTCATACCACACTACTTCTAATCATTTAATCTGTACTTGTTCTAGTACATTACAGTGAATTTACAGTATTGTAGAAGCTGGAGTTTTTTTCTTAAGTGCATTTGTTGCAAAATCTAAAAGACTGGCTTTTTCTAAACTGTATTTGCACACTTAATTGGGTATTTTTTTTAAGGTGCCTGTAAATATTAGCTTGTGAAATTGTTTCTCCATACAGTTTATGACTAAGGGTATGGGTGTGTTTTCTGAATGGTTTTCTGGAAGCCTGGCTCATGTTAACATGCCTTCAGTGTATATTTGATAGATAAACATCATCTGTTGCAGGTGAGTTAGTGGGCTTTGTTCTCCCTTATTTTTTTCACAGAGAGAAAAATTAGAATAAATCTGTTTTAATAAACATAATGTCTTGAATCAGTTTTAGGCAAGAGTTCTTTGAGTATCCAAAAGCATTTTTGAGAAAGTAGCCAAAGCTGTCAATTAGCGATTTTCAGACACTGAGAATTTACTGTCATTGATGTTCACTTTATGCTACCCTAGTGTAACTAACAGGCTGCACTGCAGAAATCTGTGCAGCTCTATACAGGATGTGTAAGGTAACCTTACTGCTCAACCACACACCTCTTTTTAAGAAAGGGATGACCCAAAAGTTTTGTCTAGCCTAGTGGCATTTGTGCATTCTCAGGATAGAACTAAAGGAGGGGAAATAATTTGTTTCTCATTCCATTGCTGTATGAAATGGGTTTCTACTGCAGGCCCCCTCTTATTCTTCTTAAAAGCTGTAGAGCTTGCATAATGGGTGCAGGACTAACAAACTCCATACTAAATATTTCTTTTTATGTTTTACAAAAGGAGTGGCTTTCAAAAGGACATGGAGAATACAGAGAAATCCCAAGTGAGAGAGACTTTTTCCAAGAAGTCAAAGAAAGTAAAAACGTGGTTTGCCATTTCTACAGAGATACAACATTCAGGTATAGTAAATGAGCTGTGCTCAAGAAACCTTTTGTTTGTAGATATCTACAAACCAGACATGTTCATTTGTTCTTTCAAACCCCACACATAAATAGGCATTTTTAGAAGTGTTCAGATTCCTTCATTTTCCAAATCTTGATCCCTTCTCAAGACACTGGATTTTTTTTCCCATTCCATTTAATCAGAACATGATTTGACAACAATTAACCCTCTGTTACATAGCCGATGAGAATAAAAATGTTTAACTTCTCTGACAGTATTTCAGAGAGTGTTGTGTTTCATTATTGATTTAGTCTGAGGCAGCCAGGTCTGTAAATGTGGTGACCCATAGAAGAGCAGCATTTCCAGAAGATGACTTTAGCTATTCCAGACAGAGATTTTGGACAGTTCTGTCAAATGAAACTAAAAATATAAACAAACTTGTCTCAGCATCCTCAGAATTTAACCTTTTACTTTGAAATGATCTGTGGATACCAGTTGCAGCTGCTTTCCCTTTGTGCCAGTGCCTTTCTCATTATGTCACTTTTTTAGGGTGCAAGAGACCTAGATCTGAGAACATGTCCTGACTCAAAATAGGGACCTAAAATAAGATCTCCCACTTCCTTGGGAGAATTTCAGAAGTTCTGGGTTGTAGGCTGTTCCTCAGTGGGTCTGTTTCCATGTCTTCTGTTAAAAGACAGTTGCAGAGAGTAGTTTGTGGAAGGAGGAGCCTGTTGTCCTGTTGGTGGTTGGCTGTTTTGCCCCCCACCCACCCCCTGAAGGTGTTAATGTTCTCTCTGGCTTGGAGAACATAAACTGCAATAGCTTCAGTGTGAGAAACTGAAAGAGCTGTCAAAGCTGGAGTATGCAGTGAGGTATTTGCATCCTACATTTTCTAAGTTAAACATTTAAGTTTCAGAAATACCTGAAGCAATTGCATTTGGCTAGCTTTTACTCAAGGAGGTTAAAAGACTGTCCCTGCAAATAAAGTAGCTTAGAACAGGTTTGGGTTGTTTGGTTCTTTTTTTCTTGAACCAACAAAGTCTGTAGACTTAGGAAAAAGAACTTTCACTAAGTTCTTTGAGAGAAAAGAGGAAAATAAAAAGAAAAGAGAAAGTGCTTTGTAAAATGTGTCATGCTGACAACCAGCTTGAAGCTAGTGTGTCCGGTTTGCCAGCCACAATACCGAGTTGCTTTCATCCTTGCCCACTCCAGCCTTTTTTGAGTTAAGGACGTTGCATCACAGAGTTCCTGCAGCTAAGCCAAACTGCTTAAAGAAGACAATCCAGAAAGTTGAGACTGCAGATGACAACTGCACAGATCTCTGCCATCTGAGAAGTATTTTGGTCAATTCATGTTACTGTCCTTCATCCGAGAAACAATAATTATGTGCTCACTCCCATTCCATTGCAACAGAAGAGTGAAATATTTTTGCCTATAGCATTACTGAAGCAGTCTGTGCAAATCACATTTTGTTGTGCTTTTTTCTTCTGTGAAGTGAGTTACTGCATCTCAGTTGTGGATGTGATGACTGAAAAAAAACCAAAACACCATCTTGAGAGTACTTCTCTGAAGATAAGAAGTTCGTTATCAAGTAATTTTTCCAGCTGACAGACTGTGAAGCTAGAGCAGGAAGAATAGAAGTCAGGGGGAAATTTCATCAATAAATGCAAGCCTCAAGAAAAGAGAGAGGCTTTCAGGTGTATGTTGGAGTAATTAGGAAGAAATTAGAGAAATGGATGGTGTAATTGTGCGAGAAAGATGCTCCAGGCTGTTACCCTATTAGTCATTAAATCCAGCTACCTCTGAAACACAGTTTCTGTTGAAACTAAATTCAGAATTACGAAGGTCATGTCTGAGCAACAAACATGATAGAACTAGCTCTTTACTGTTCCTTTTCTCTAGAGTACATAGTCATCAGCCTATTGATTCTGACACTTCTTTTTTTCCCCACAGGTGCCAAATAATGGACAAACATTTGACTGTTTTGGCAAAAAAGCATATTGAGACAAAGTTCTTGAAATTAAATGCTGAAAAATCACCTTTCTTGTGCGAGAGACTGCGCATCAAAGTAATTCCCACTCTAGCACTGGTGAAAGATGGAAAAACACAAGACTACGTTGTAGGCTTTACTGACCTCGGCAATACTGATGATTTCACTACAGAGACCTTAGAATGGAGGTTAGGCTGTGCAGCCGTCATTAATTACAGGTAATGAATTGTTTTGTGATTGTTTTCTTTTCAGACAGTGCAAGGAGAGCGTTGTTGCACACAGGAGAATCTCTACATGTTTGTAATTTTGATATGTTGTATGCTTAAGACACACAGGAGTTTAATCCAGTTATTCTGTGTACTGTGGCAAGGGAAAGAAGAGAGTATTTTTTTTTTGGCAAATTATTGAGACATAATGAGCTTCACATTGTTCTTTTTCAACAGTAATAAAAATACAGTTGTTGCCATGATGTGTTTGGGGTAGCTGTGCTGCTTTGATATGGCCTCTCAGAGTCATGCATCTTCAATGTAATCCTTCCTAAATCAGCTAAAGATGCTTAGATGTCACAGTTGCAATGCAGTCACATTTGAGTATTTTTAATCTCACTTCAGGGAGAACTCATCAAGTCATCCTCACACTGTACTTTAGTCTATATTGCATATGTCAACATGTTGAGTTTTTTTCCAATGAACAGTACAGAAAGTGAAAATAAGTATATAATAATAGGTATAGAAAGTGAAAATATTTGCAGAAGTGCAAATAGTGTAGCAGTACAATATAATCATCACAAATCCCACATTTAGGATTGCAAGATAGAAGGCAGAAGAAGCTAACTCAGCACAACTTTCCAGGAGGCTCATGTACCAGAACTTTCTGCTTTGCTTTCCAGATTCTGGCTAGAACATCATCTGTATCTTCTTAGGTTAATTTTGCACTTCTGATTTTAATGTCTTTGGCTGTTTTTTAAACTTCATTATCTGAGTTTATTTCAATGTCTACTTTACAAATTTTGGCAAGAAGTACTGTTGTATCTTAAAGGCTGTTCAGTTTAGCTTAATAGCTATCAAACTTCAGATTAAATGACTGAAATTAAAATTTCTAGTTCAAAACAAGTGGCGATACTCACTTCCCAGTTCAGTAACAAGCAAATGCATAGAAGAGTCAAAGACAGCTTGGATATATATTCTAAACAGCAGCAGCTTTTTGAGGGAGAAATCTTTCAGTGGAGCTGTGCCAAGCTGCATTGAATTTGCTAAATGTTGGTATGTTGGTTTACAGCATAATATTATTTCTTACTTGACTCTGTTCTGCTCTTAGCTCCTCGTGGAGTGGGGCAGTTGTTTTGTTCATTGTTCCTTTTGCTAGACCATGAGTTTAGTATCCTGGCTTTGCAAGGTGAAACACAATGTCTGCAGAGCCCAGGAGATCCACGCCAGGAGAGAGCCATTTATGTACAAGTGTTGTATTTGCACACTGCTCTGAATGTAATGTCCTGCTCTCTGGAGTTCCTGAAGAGGTCGTCCTTCTCAGAGCCTAGCAGCAGCTGCATTCCTTCAGCCTGTGGGGTAGCAGATGGTGAAAGGATATACTGTATTTAAGGGGAAAACTGTTTGTTGACCAAAACCAGGTTCTGGGTGGTGTATTGACTTATTACTGACATGCAGTTAACTAGCAATCAGTGAACTGTGCATGTAGGCTCAATGTCAGCAAAATATTACCTACAAAATGTTAGCACCTACAAATTTCTAAACACCCTTCTGTAATTCCTGAAGGTCCTAGTTGCTCACTCGCTCATAGACAGAAGTGCCTCACAGGCCATGTGAGTGAAATCATGCACACACCCTTTCCTGAGCAAGGGGATGGGATTCCCCTCTTTGGACACACACCCCTTGCTGTAGGAGCTGTGGGTGCTCCAGCTTTAATGTGAACACCTGCTGTTCCCAGCAACCCACAGACCCACATGCTCCTGAGAAAGGCACTACAGGGTCATATGTGCATGTTGAGGTGTGGGTGGCTCCAGAGTCCACTAGCTGGAGTTCAGTGACTGCTGGAGTAGCTGCTCTGCCTGGCCTAGGCAGCGATAGTACAAGGTGACATCTGGCAGTAGAAAACCCAGTTTTGACTCTTCGTTTCTACTCTGAAGTCCCCGTTGCAAAATTGCAGCTTCTTTTGTATTTGTGGATCCTTGTTTGTTTTAAAAAGTCTGTCTGTGACTCCCTGGTTTCTGTTTCATCTGGTAGGTGCTCGTCTTTAGCATGATCAGGTTGCAGCAAAAGCCCTTTCAGACAGTTTTTATCCTAGAGCTCTGCTCACAGGTGCTGCCAGCACTCCCACTCCTGTCTGAACTCCAGTGATCCAGGCTAGCAGCACCCACCACAGTGCTGCCTAGGGTGGCTTTAGGGAGTAGGCATTGTTTTCTCTTACCATGTTTCTCTGGAGGAACAGGTAATTAGAGATGCTGCTTACTGTCTGCATGAATATGGCTTTAATCAACGTATCGTACTCTTTTCCTCTAGTGGAAACTTGATGGACCCACCTTTTCAAAGTCAGAAGAAATTTGGAACAAACTTCACAAAGTTGGATAAGAAAACCATCAGAGGAAAGAAATATGATTCAGATTCTGATGATGACTAGAAGAACAGCTAAATAAATGTATTTGTAAATCATCTTTTGTTTATGCTTGGTACATTTCTAAGAATGTTTTATATAAACCTTACTGCTCTTCATTACAGCTGCACATAATGCTCATTTTTCTATATAGTTTTATACAACTGAGTCACAGCAGAAAAAAGCTTTTTTTTTTTTCCCTCTTTTTGAAGCCATTTGTAACTCAAAAACCTGAGTCATTCTAACTAAATAACGTGGCAAATGATGAAATTTGTCTTAAGTGTAAGTTTATGAAGTGTTTTGAACTAACTTGCAAACAGTTGTCCCAAGTCAGACCAAAGGTCCCTCTGGCCCAGCATCCAGTCTCTGTGGCCAGAAACAGATGCACAAGGAAGAATGGAAACAGAATGAGCAGGTAGCAGTGCTACCCCAGAATATACTCTAAGCAATCTGTGGCTTGGGGAACTCTGTGTCTGAGAGCGTTTGCTGGTTAAAATTGTGGAAGAAAAATCTCTTTAAGTCCTCATAGTGTCCTGGCATCCACGTCATATGGCACAGAGTCCACAGTTTAACACTGTTGTGTGAGGGGCTACTTCCTATTGTTTTCCTTGAACCTGACAGTTCCAGGGTTTTTTTCCTAATTTTCTTTATTAAAGGAGATGATAACCAGATTTTTAAAAGATTTTCCCCTAAAAGTTCCTCTTCTAGTTGCCTTTTTAAATTATTATTTATATCATCGGTAAAGCACCACAAAATTGATAGTAAAGGAATGGTGCATTTTAGCAAATGATTGCTTATCTTACAGTGCCATATCATGACATAATTTAACTACAACTTAACTACATTGCACTCTAAGTTATAAAAATAGTGGTAACTTGTAAATGCTGAAGTAGGTGGTCAAGAGAAAAGCCCTTTTACCACCTATGTCCACCACATGTTAAAACTGATACACCGGGTAACAGCACATAGCAACAAGCATACTGAAAACAGCCTTGCTCACGGGTTTGTATAATTCTGTGGTTTTGAGTGTGTGGATTTTATAGCAGATGCTTTGTACAAGAGAGTAGAATAGAGAAAAGTATTTGGGAGAAACCTTGATCCATTGAGCTTAGACATAGCGCCGCATACTGTGTACTCTTCTTTGGTAACGGATGGAACTTTCAAGGAAGACCTTCCGTGGAACACAATTAAAAGTTTCTGGCTAGGTGAAGAGTTGATGCGTTTTTCTTTGGTTTTCAAAATAGTTTGCTGTGTGCTGAAGGACTCTTGTGAGGTGGTACTTTGAATCTTGTTGGTCCAAAAAGCAGTAAGTGGGTCTAGTCAGTTTTGCTGCCTCGTAGCGGAGAACACTTGTGATGGGGCCAGCCCAGCAATATATCTCTTCAAGTAAGTTTTAAAAATTATATTTTGTTTCTGTTCATGTACATTGAATAAAATTATTTTAATTCTAATGTTGACTTTTGCATCCTTTCAAATAAGGTGTTCTAGGGGCTGTGCTTTTTTTTTTTCTTTTAATACAGTCCATCAGAAAGTTGCATGAGCTCTTTTTAGATTGCTTGCAAACTACACACAGTTCTGACATTACAACATCACTTTGAAAAGGCAATAAGCTTAAGATGTACACAGCTGTCCATTAATCTACTAGAAGGATAAAGAAGACTATCCCCTTTATAACACACAACTCTTTAAATGCACTAGAAAATGCCTTTTTTTCTTTCTTCTTTTTCTCCCATCCAGTAGCATGAAAATTAATTTTGGAAACCAATGTCCCAACAGTATTTTTAAGAGTGCCTTAGCAGGACTCATCTCTGAGTCTTAATTACATTGAACAGGCTATGGAAGTATAAAATCATGTCTCATGGAGTCGCATGCTGTGTGGCACCTGGGCTTGTCAGGATTCCAGCATGGTGCGTTGTTAGAGGTTAATCAGTTTCATGTGTGAGTAGCCCCACTACAAACAATTTAAGCTGCTGAAGTTTTTCTAGGTTAATCTTCAGTTAGACCTCTTCCTTCATCTGGCTTGTAATATGGCCACATGCATACCAGTGCTGATACAAGGAGGTTGCAGTTTGGGTGAAGTTGAGACTGTTTGTACTAATAAGTTTGCATTTATTTTGAAGTAGCAGCCTCACAGATCTGTCTGCTTTGAGTCTTACTTTCATGTCTGCTTTCTGCATTTTCTGTTTTTGATAATGATTACAGCTGTCATTGAATTGTCCTCTTGGTAAGATCTCCATTCTTGCTTTGCGTATTACTTTGAGAGGGACAATCCAAGTCCAAGAATTTTATTTTGGCTGAAACTTAAAAAACATTTAAGAACTGTAAAACTAGTCTGAGTAGTGAGGAACAAATTATTCTGTGGTAGAGCTTGGTGGTTTTGCAGTGAAGATTAAATAATGAGTTGTCCATGATAATAAGACCTGGGTCAGCAAGCTGGAAGTGTAAACAATACTGAGAACAACAACTGAACCAAATGTCAGCTGTACAGACTTGAAAAGCACAAAGCTTAACTTTGTCAACAGTGATCTAGTGGCAGTATGGCCAATAGATGAGAAGATGATGATGATGACAACACACACAATATCTAGGAAGGCTGCAGGTTGCATGTGATTGCTTACAGCAGATCGTGTATGTAAGGACATGACTAAATAAGGTTCCTGAGCCTAGACTAATCACAAAATGGTACCTGGTCTGGCATGTGTTAGCCATGAAAGGGTATTATGCAATAAAGAGGTGAGAAATATTTATGTGTAGCTTTTGAAGTTCTAGGGCTTATGCATGAACTGGGCATGTAACTTTAGTAATGATTAGTGCTTAAGTGTGTGCTTGATGCTTGCATGAAGTAATCATTAAAGAAATGCATGGAGACAATAACAACCAAACTAGATCTGTGTTGTTTAGCTCTTAATGCTAGATTGTTTGGACTTGACTGGGCATTCTTTGATCACTGGTTGATCCTATGCTGTGCTTGTGATGGTCTGCTTCAAAAAAATTGCCTAGAAGTTAAGTGCTGAGTTGAGCTTTGGGATTTAGGAAGTGTGAAGAAGTCTGGTCCTTGAAAGAGATGTGATGAGAAGAAACAGACTCTGAAGAGGGCAACAGCTGAGCAAGTGCTCTCAGACCCCATTAGCAGATTGTAGTGCTTGCAAGTATAGTTAATAGGGGTCATTAAGGGAGACCAATTCGAAAGCTGAATTGATGCCTTCCGGTCCCCAGTTCCAAGTAATCACATTTGCTATTTCCTGTGTAGAAATTCTAAAATTAATACTTTTCTACAGAAATTTCTATAGAAAGTTTGGGCTTTGCAAAATATTGTTTCTAAAATAAGCCCTTTGTCTCCCAACAAAGAGGAAAGCCTGTGTTCTCAACCCCGTGTGGGGGATGCTCTCTTTTTCCCTCTCCCATGCACACACACACACAAGCTGGTGCAGAAATAATATGACTTTTGTACTTGCTGCATATTCAATAGCTGTGTATTCCACTTTTTTGAAGGAAAATTCTGTCTGTAGTGTGTTGATCTGTCTCTTTAGAACAGCTATACATGACAGTGTGAGAGTTACACTCCAGAGTTTAAGGAAAGCCTCTCTAGGGATTGAAAGTGGAGGGTAGCTGAAGCTACAGTAGAATATTTTAGAACTGTTCTGAGGGGGATGTTGTCCCTGAACTAACCCCTAAAGGATAAATAGCTAGATTCCACCACATTTGAGCAAATTACCGCTCTGAAGGCCTACTCTGATACTTTTTCTTGAGTCGTGCTTTGAAGCCTCAGTGGTAAGCCTGTTTAATATGATTGTGGTGATCCAAGACATTGCAGTCTCCCAGATGCTCCTTGTGCCTTCCAGCAGGATGGATAACCATTTTGTACACTACAAAAGGGAATGTGTGTCCAAACCTTCTTCAGTTTAAGCTAACACATCAAACTGGCTAAAGTAGTACATAAGAGACCAGAGCATCACCCAAAAACTCTTGTTCAAATTTGGTGGATTAATTTTTAAGTCCATGTGCCCTGAGAGACACTTGATGCTTGTTAATGGAAAGGAAGCAGTTAAGAAAGCTTGCTTCCAGAGATCCTGTGAGGTGCATATTCTAAGGCTACATTTTTCTGAATTACCTATTACAGCCATGGCTTGAGCTGCATAAAATGAACCACCACTGATCCAAGAGCCATGTAGCTGTGTCAGCTCCGTGCCGAGCGTGTGTTAATATACCGTCTGATTTTGAACACAACCTGTTCAGGTATCATCTGCCTGGTGGTATGATTTCAACATGTGGCTCATAAAAAGGTTTAAAAATTAACTTATCTGTTTCACATACCATGCAGTCTCCAGTAACCATTGGCTTTTCCCAAGATGACATTGTATGCAAATCAGGTGATTATAATACACAAAACCATCAATTCCTTTCCTGATCTTCTTCCTCCTTGCCTAATTATTTCTTATTAGTGTGCTGCCCTAGAAAAAAAGTCTGAAATTGTTTCCTGTTTGTCTTCTAAAACGTTGACAGTCCTCAATGCTTTGTGTCATGAATTCCAGGCACACAGAGATGCTCTTAATAGTTATATCACACAATCATGGAATGGTTTGGAAACCAGGTTGCTCAAATCCCCACCCAAGCTGGCCCTGAACACTTCCAGGGATAGGGCATCCACAACTTCTCTGGGCAACCTGTTACAGTGTCTCACCACCCTCGTGGTGAGGAACTTCTTCCTTACACCTAAGCTAAATCTATCATCTTCCAGTTTGAACCCATTACCCATCATCCTATCACTACAAGCCCTTGTAAAAAGTCCCTCCACAGCTTTCTTTCTCTTCTCCAGGTTAAACAATCCCAAATCTCTCAGGCTGTCCTTGTGGAAGAGGTGCTCCAGCCCCTTGCTCATCTTCATGGCCCTCTGGAACTCCTCCAACAGATCCATGTCCTCCTTATGTCGAGGTTCCCAGAGGTGAATACACTGCTAGAGGTGGGGCCTCACGGGACCTGAGTAGAAGGAGAAAATCACCACCCTCAACCTGCTGGCCACACTTCTTTTGATGAAGCCCAGGATACTGTTGGCTTTTGGGGTTACAAATGCACATTGCTGGGTCATATTGAGCTTCTTGTCAATCGACACCCCCAAGTCCTTCTCCTCAGGTCTGCTCTCAATCCATTCTCTGCCCAGCATGTATTTGTGCCTGGGATTGCTCTGACCTATGTGCAGGACCCTCTTCCACCTTGAACTTCAAATGACTTGCTTTAGGTGATAGATCTGTTTTTAATATGGAATGTGAACCAAAGTCTCACCTAGTCCAGTGACCTCTTGCTTCCTGCAGTAAATTCAAAGTATCATTTTAGAGAACAGAAGGAAAGTACTTTTTTCCTCCCTCAGAAATACTTCTGGTCTTGTTTTAGAACGTGGATGCAGGCATGCTTTGTGCAGTGAAGGATGTCATTTCAGTGCCCACCTGTGTTCCTCAGAAAGGCAAGATTGGAGCCCTCAGCTCCTGTTCATTTCTGAACACAGAGGAAACTGAGATCTTAGGTCTAACAAGTTTGAAGACCTTTGCTATCATTCCTTACAGGTATACTAGATGTAGAAAATAAAATCTCTGGAAATGTAATTATCAAACTGACTATATCCCTTTAAAAGTTGGGAAAGACAGCTCTAGAGGGATTGTTTGAGATGATGCTATGGATGTATCTTTAACTGACCAGTTAATGGTAGACATCCAACATGCGTCAGCTGTCGTGGGCAGCTTCCCTATAAAGCAGTTATAAAATCTGTGAATAGCTGGTGCTGCCTATAATTGCATCTCAGACAAAAGGAACAACCTGAGAAATGCATCTGCCTGATGATGTTACAAAATCAGAGCTGAAACTCACAACAGAGACAGTAATTAGTATGGGTATTGGTCCAGGTAATTTTAGATAGTATTCTCACCGTCCAGTGAAACGTGATGCTATAGCCTGCAACCTGAAGTATGTGCAACACATAAAGCTTTTCAAAATGGTGCTCTGTTTTGGTGGCATCTCCATTAAGGAGAAGGAAAAAAAACTTGCCCTGGTAGATGACTTGGCATGAAGGGAAAAAAAAAAAACAATAATAAAGTGAATATCTGTGAGTAAGAAAGAATCTTGGTGTGTTTAGATATTGGGTGTGCTCCTTTCTAGCTTATGTAAAACGAGTGGAAAATGCTGTTCTGTCAGGTAATGTTTTTTTGTCCACTCCCTACTCCCCTTAGCTCAGTGTAGCTAACAGTGTCAAAGAAAGCCCAGGGGGTCACTGACTGCAGTTCATTGCCAAGATGCCCCTATGGATACCAGGAAGTTTTCCTGCTTCTTAAGTTTAAGAAGATGCAGATGCCATTTGCCAAATGGACTCCTCGTTCCCTGACTTTCCATCCCCATCCTCCCAATCACATGCTGTGCTAAACACATTCCAGCACGAGGGGAATATATATGTGGGCATCCTTTATGTTTAACAATTACGCAACAGCAAAAAGAGGTTTAAAATAGTAGGGTTGGGGGTTTTAAAATTAGAATATTTATGTCCTTCTTCTTTAATATTAATATCTTATTTCCATGGATTTCATATAATTTCCCTGCTACCAAGCATGAGGGCTAGCAGCTTGCTGTCCTCCTAAATTAAAGTCTTGCAATATCATATGAATAAAAAAACCTGTGCTTCTAACCAAAATGCCAAGAATAATAAAGAAAAGTATAAAAAGAGGTCTGGTAGTGTTATAAGAGAAGGTAACATTTTTCAGGGACATCAGCCCAGACCATTCCTGGACATCTCTTTATGACATCTTGTCAGTTAGAAAAAGCTCCTGTAGTCATAAACACAAAGATGCCTTCTAACTCACCTTCTCTTCAGCCTATCAAAAGTAGCATCCTATCACAGCTGGGTGATACCACATCCCTTCTGTTGAGTTAGGGGCTATCAGAGGTAGACCTTATTTCACTCTTGACATAATTTTCCAAATTAAATCTAGGACAAAAATGAAAGATGGTGCCGTATTAGTGACAGATGCAGCCCACTTTCATTAAGTGTTTCACCTCAGTTTGATGCTCTGGGTTTATAGCCCCACAAACACCTTTGAGCAGAAGATTGTGTTTTCTCTTATCCTATGGGTCCCCTTACATGGTGGTGCCTTAGACAAGTGCACTGGTGAAGAGCCTACTCAACATATATGAGCACAACCTTGTCTGCATAAAGGCTGCTTGCTTTCAGCATTTGTTCTAAAAGGCAGTGAGCAAATTTTGTGAGGATAAAGTTTTTAGGAAGAAAAAATCCCACTTATGAATGGGGAAAAAATCCTAAACATAACATCTGCCATTTGTTGAGCATGTAAAGAACAATGCAATGCAGAGCAGGCATTAAGAATTCATGTGATGGCACTGTGAAATGTAGAAAATTTGTGATTAAATGGGTAATAAATGAGAAAGAAATACATAGCAAAGACAAACAGTATTTAAATTCAAAACCTTGAGTACCACCAGCCAGCGGTCAACACATTAGGAAAGAAATCTTACCTAAGGTCAGAGGCTACTTTTCAAAAAAAGGTCCCAAGTCATTGTTATGAACACAGGTTCAGTAACAGAGGGATGCTAGTTAATTATCACTAACAGGATACTGTTTTTATAGAAGATAACTGGACGTTAATACTGAATGATTTGCCTCTATCTGAGATAACACATCTCTTTCTAATACAGATTTTCTTGTTCTACAGAAGGAAAATGTAAATACCTACTAAGTTTGTTGCATTGTTTGGGCACTGGCCTTGTCTGTCCACCTCCAAGTGCACAAGGTGCAAGTCTTTCAGAGACCCTCTGTGTTCTGCCTCTGGCTTCAGCTGCTGAGAGACCAGTTCCCTTCCTCCTCAATTCAGCTGCAGCACCCTGCCACCCCAAATCTGAAAGTCAATCCTTGCCACTGCTTTCAAAGTATTCAAGTCACAGCTTTCCTTTAATTGTCCTTTTTTGGAATTCATATGAAACTATATTACTTAATTAAAAGCTTGCCAATCTGAAATCATTGAAGAAATGAGACAAAAAAATCCTTTTAGAAATGTTTCTAGACTGATCTCAGATGCAAAGTAAAGAGAGCACTAGACAGGGATCTAATTTTTGAGTGGCCTCTGCCACTGATTCACTGCAATGCTTTCTGTAAGTCATTTGTAGTGCATCAGTGTGCTTATTGATGGAGAAAAAACAGTATTTATTTCCTTTCATGGAGTTGTCCTGAGTCTTATTAACCACTGCTTGTGCAAATCTATGGATAAAAGGAACAGTAAGTGTTCTAAGCTCTTAATATATATTACTTATTGTATTTTAAAACAAATGTCATCACACAAGGTAGGAATTAACATTCCAAGGCCCATAGGGTGGGTACCTTTTCATACACATATATATAAAAGTCATCAAGTGACTTGCCTCAGAAGAAGGCTGACTGCAGACAGGTGAGTCTGAATTCACTGATAGAATATTTATTTAGAGCCAGAAGCCTTGATTTTGTTTTGATTTGGCATTTTGTCAGTATTGCAATTGCTATGCTCTTTCTACCTAAGGCCTGTGTTGATCTTTGTGATGGGAGGGGAAAAAAAAAAAAGATAAGTTTAAACTATAAAATCTGGCAATTTCCTGTGTGCAGGAACAGCTACAAAATCTTGTAGCTTTTGATGGGGCCCCATATGGGTTTGCCATTGAATTCACAGGTATTGGGCCAAGCTGGAGTGATTTGGGCTTGTGAATGCTCAGTGTTGGGTTAGAGCTCAAAGTGAGGTACTGCGTGTGCACAGCTCCAGCCATGGGCATTTAATGGCCTGAATAAGCTCACTGAGGACCAGGGAGTCTTTCCAATGCTGCCTGTGTTTCTACATCCAGGTAATCTGGTTTGCATTAGAAATACAAGAAAAGGTCACACATGGTTACAATCAATAGATATTTTCAAGTGTTAATAGCATTGCGCAATTATTGCCTGCAAGACTTTTGGCTTGATTTGTGTTGGAAACCCTCTCAAGGATAAAAACCATTTGTAAGCTGTAAAAACTGCTCAGTTTAAATGCATTTACCAGCAAGGCAAGTACAAGCAATGTTCTTTTTGCAGTTAATAGCCATTATCTGATGATGTTTTGAAATTTTATTCATAAACGCAGCGTGCATTTATTACTAAAGTGGTTATCTGCCAATATCACACGCAGATATTAACACAGAAGTATTATTTCACCAGATAAATCTTGGTGTTGTCTTGCATACTCTTTGTATAGAATTAAGGGTCATATTGCTTGATTTTTTTAAAACCTTTTTTTTCCAAAAGCCAAGCAGAAATCCCATTGCTTTTTGAACACAGAGACAAGGGACATGTGCACTCTGTAGCATGATAGACCTCAAACACCTATATAATTAAAGCGAAAGTACTGGACCTTCTCTTCATAAAGATAGGCTACATGTGTTCAGGAGGGGCCATGTGAGCAAGCAATGTGAATTGGTTTGGGCTAAAAAATCCCTGCTAGCCCAGGCAGCAAAGGGGAACCTACCAAGCTCCCCTGGCTTGGCCCTTCCCTCTTGATGTGATAGTGTAGTGGCACACGAGATGGGAGGAGAACTTCAGCCACAGGAGAATCCCTGTTTGTATCTCTCAAACAAGGAGGAAATAAAGAGCAGGTGGGGCTCCCACCATCACTCTCTGAAGCTGGCAACTGCATCCTATGCTGGGGGTGAGGGAGAGAGTGTGCTGCAGAGAGGGTGCCTCCCTTCCCCATCCCTTCTTCAGTTAATGCCATCCCTCTCTGGTGTCTCAGAGCTTTCGGAACACAAATTTTGCTGTAGGGCTGTTGAAAACTGTACTGGTTTCTTCATGTTTTGCAAATCACTGTTCCAGGTGTCCTGGGGCAGCTGAGGAGAGTCATCGCCATGATCCCCTCACTGCTCTTGCTAGGCCTTATGGCCCTTGTTGGTAAGCTTGGGTTCGGGCTTGGGCTGCTGTCGAAGCACCTGGGAACTGTTTGTAGAGGGGCTGCAGAGAGCAGGTGTGCAGTCAGGCCTGAGGTCCCCCCTCTGCGTGGTGCTGTAAAACCCTGTGCGACTGAAGGTCCTCAGCTGCTGTGTGAGGCAGCTTCCCACCCACGCCCACGTGTCCTTTAAACCAGCGTGTCTGGAGTGTGGGACTGACCCCAAAAGGGAGTTGCAGGCAGACCTTCTCTTGAGTTTCCCAGCTAACCTTAGCTGATCTCTCTACCTACTCAGAAATGATCTCACAAATGTGGCAAGCTGTTTGATGGAGGCCGTTCGTTCCTCGGTTACTGAGGAAGAAGGGTAATTTGCCCAGGCTGAGACAAGCATTCTCCTGAATTAATTCCTCACCGAGTTACAAAGAGGCACATGAGATGCTCTCAGCCACGGTGCTCACCAGCCATCATCTCGGCAGTCCCAGACACTGAGGGACATTGAATGGGAAGAGCCCTCTGACATAAATGCAGAGGCTACAGTTCCCCTCTCCATACCAAAGTTTAGACCTAACAGGGCAATTTATTCATGTAAATTGTAATTAGATTCATTCAATTCAGCCTATTCAATTAGAAAAGAACAAATTTCTGTTCTCTGTCTTTCTTTGATAACATCACTGATGGAGAGCAGCAGCAACCATACAAGCACGGCCAACACAAGGTGGTGTGGATTACTGGTCTGATGAATCCCTCACGCGTGACTTGTATGCACGTGCAGCACAGTGTATGGTATTGCTCTGAGATCTGTGTGTTCAAACACTTCCGTTTAATTTTTCAGCTCCATCCATGAGCTACAGTTGCTATGGTGACATAAGTGCTCTTCAACTCCCCAGGGTCTCCTGTACAGCTGTAAGAGCCCCAGACTGTGGTAGGTATCATTCATTACTTCATTTGTCACACTCTCTGCACCTGACAGAAAGATGTTTTGCCTTCTATTATTGCCAAATTAAAGGTGGTGCAGCTATTCAATTAGCCAAAAGGGAGAAAGCAACACCTCCTCTCCCAAAATGAAAGGTGCTGTGAAGCCTCAAGACCTGGTGGGAAGCAGGAGGACAAACTTTAGGTCCCCTAATTGGGATCCTCAGCTTCTAAGCAAAGGGAAATGGTGCAATTCCTTTGCAGTCAAATAGCTTCTTCATAAGCCAGGACTTTAGCATTAGCATCCTCACAAAACCCTGGGGCTTTTCTGCTTGAAGGGCAAGATGTGCAGAGCCAGGTCCCGAATGCTGGCATGGTGACCTGCGAGACACAGCTTGCAAGGGGAAGGTCCCAGGTGTGTAGCCATCCAACCTCTGGGTGGTTTTTGGTAACTCCTTCCCGTTTCCCTGTTTCTTGCCTTCTGTTATTGTCCTGTTATTGCCCTGTGTCACTACACAGCTGACTACATCAGATTCATAATGCTGAGACCTCCAAAGACTTTGCCACATACCTTGGATTTAGGTACCACCAGTGCAGACACCTGTTTGCAGGTGTCCAAGTATAGATCTGAGCCCACTTGCTTGTTTCCAAACTGTTTCAAAATTATGTTTAAAAGAACCCCACCTTTCCATACACAGCCTAAAAACATAGCTGTACTGCAGCTTGGCTGGTCAGTAGTAACACATCTCAATTTTTTCAAGTACAATTTGAAATTTCATTTTTCCAGGTCCAGAGCTGCATTTTGAGTAGTGTGGCAGCAGAATAGGACAAAGAATGCACTGTTCCACCTCCTGAGAAGCTGCTCTCTTCTCCTCATTATCTTTGGGTACTGGCACACAGCTCCCTGGCTATCGTCAAAGCCAGTAGGGTTGTGCTTGTTCCTCACGTGCCACTGCCCAACTCGGTGTAGCTGTGTTTTCTCTGAAACTCCAGTTACTCCTCTGATACAGCCTCTCGGGGGGAAAGCTCAGGCTTTGGACCGGAGGATGTGTCAGTCTGCCTTTTCCCGCGCCACAGGGCTTGCCATGATCCGGAGGGCTGCCGAGGCAGACGTCGTGCGCCTGAGGAGATACGAGATCCCCATTAGGAGAGTGGCCAGGAAGCTGTGCTTGGAGCCGGCGCTCATCGCCGGCCTCATCTCGCAGGAGAGCCGCGCTGGGCTGCTCCTGGACAACGGCTGGGACCGGGAGCGGCACAAGTACGGCCTCATGCAGGTACATCCGCCTCACGAGGCACAGAAACGTGCTTAGATCCCAGGCCTTGCCTCAGCAAATGACTGGTCTGTGTTCAGGACAGCACTTCAATGCATTCTCTCTACATCAAAGGCTGTGCTTAAGTGTTGATCTGAGTAAGGTCACTTCAGTGAGTCACAGCCTGGGAGTGCAAAGAGGGCGAAGCTACAGTGGTAGTTGTGTTCAGAGAGAAACCCGTTTTCTTGCTCGACTTTTCTAGCTTGGCAGGCAGCTACAACGCCCTCTCGGACTGTGGGACAGTGAAGAACATATAAACCAGGGCTCAACCATCCTGGTTCGTGCAATTAACGACGTGCGGGAAAGACATCCTACCTGGACCTGGGACCGACAGCTGAGAGGTAGGCAGTGGGCTATGCTGGAGAGGGACGTGCTGAGTGACGGGAGTGCTCTGCCTTTGTTGGGGTCACTTTTAAAGGAATCAGAGCATCGGCTTGGCAGATTTTATAGCTGCCAACACCCCCCAGCCCCCAGAGATTTCTAGTTTAAAAGAGGCAATCCCAAAGCAGCAGACTTGCAAGAGGTCTGAATATAGACACAGCCTCACAGCCTGTCCACAGGGCCTCCACATTTCTGCTGGCAGAAGAGAGACTGTGGTGGGACACCAAGCTCCATGGCAGCTTTTTTAGGCAGTAGGAAGCAGTGAGAAACCAGCCCAGCCTGGGAGCTGCCACAACAGCACAAAGACACCCTGTGCAGGCTAGGCAAACGTGTCAGGCACAACCTTGCCAGGTTGCCCCTTGATTTCAGTGACAAACATCCACAGACGGACACTACACTGGGCAGCTGGGCCACTGCTGGTGGATGGTTGGATTTGGGATCTCCTCAAGTTCCCTAGAAAAGGCATTGTGCACAGTGAGCATAAAAAGACCTCAAGTTATCCTCTTACCTGTTCATCCTACAAGTGAAATGGCTGTCAGGTGGGTAAATAAGGTAGAAAGCAACCAAAGAAAAGCCACTAGGGAAGGAAGAAATTGAGGGACCACAACACAACAGGCTTATTGTGTCAAAAAAGCTTAGAATCAAGGTTTGCTTGTTGTCCATGTTAGCACAGAGTGAACAAACCAGCATGCAGGCATTTCTCGTCCTCCCATCCTTGCTCTGCTACCGCCTTTTTAGATTATGCCCTTTTCAGGGACCAATGTGCCATTCCCATCTGAATTTGAAGGGAGTCATGGTTTCTTTCACTATAGAAACAAGGATTTTGCAAAATCAGTCACTTTCTAGTAATAAGGCACAAGTAGCAATTTCTGAAGTAGTTATGTAGGTTTGGTGAGATGCATGGCCCTTTCAGCTAAGAAATTTTACTTTCACATAGATATTTCTTACTTGTAAGCCTGTAACAACTCTTCCTTAACTCTTTCCAGGGGGAATCTGTACCTACCATGCAAGAATGGACAACATCCCAGTCTATGAGGAAGACCCCTGCGACAGAGACAACTACTATGTCAACAGCGTGATTAGGCGAGCCCAGTACTTTAAGAGACATGGGTTCTAGCCCACAAACCTGCCCTGCCACCAAGCCTCTCCTCTGTATAGACTAACCCAGTAGTGATTGTAGTACCCAGAGCACTTCCTCAGGTCTCCTGGCAGGACCAATGCTGGTGGCAATGGCACCTTGCTCACTCCAGCAGACACCAGCTCCCCACTTGCTGATGGGTGAGGTCAGCACCACCTTCCAGGAGCCCAACATGGATGAGATACCACAAGCTCAGGGACTTTGAAAGGTAGATAGGGACAAAACAGTGTCTGATGAGGAAGGTGTCTCTTCCCATCTAAAGCTAAACCCGGGATTGTTCATGGATACCCCAAGCACAGGCACATCTTCTAATCTTCTCCATCCACCTCTTTCCTTCTCACTAGTCA